TATGCATGGAGAAAGTCGTTGACGTCCTTGCTGGGTATGGTGGGGTACTCGAGCTTATCCGGCAGCGTGATGTTTGGATAGTGCTCCTTGATCTGTGGAAGGGACGGAGATGGAGTGGGGATGGGGATGGGAATGGGAACAAAACGTTCTGAGAACATATGAGAGGGTAATGGATGGGAGGAAGGTTACTGTGAGGAACGGCAAGTGTGGGAGATGTTGAGTCGAAGGGAGAGAACGGAATGGATTGACTCTGTGAACGAGGCGACGTGGAGAGGCTGGCAAGAGTGGTCGGAATGAGAAGGGGATGAATCAACAGGACTAGATGGTTGCAGCAAATATGCAACGACGAGTCGCTGAGGGGTTTGTTGGGTTGCTACTCACCATGGCCCAGTTGTCGAGACACGAGTGGTTTGAAAAACACGCAATGTTGTCAATTGCCACGTCACGGCCCTCCCTCGCGACGTACTCATCCACTGTAATGACAGTCTTGTTAGTGCCATAAGCCGGCGCGAGGCACGCCCTCATTCTAGGAACATCCACGATATTGTCCCAACGCCAGCAGAACGTCGCGAAAGCTACGCCGCAACTCTCGTTCGGAATGACCAGCGTGCGCTGCAGAAACGCGGCGGCGATTAGATAGTTCCGCAAGCACCGCTCCTGATTGGACAGTCGCCCGTACACGCACAGAGCCAGAAGATACCGGTTTTTCCGGGGAGTCCAAGATTCGATCTTCGGCTCGTTCAAGTCAATCTGCTGCGCCGACGGGTACGGAGATCTAATCTTCGGCTTCGGCTTGTCGCTGTTGCTTTCCTTCACTCCAGCTGCCCCTATAACGGGGATACTGGCACCGTTACTGGGCCCGCTTTGCATCAGTCGTACAATCTCCGCCAAAGCCCGTCTTACGGTGTGAGATTCCCTGGGTACTACGTTTTTCCCTGCGTCCCCTGACGAGATGACCTTCCTGCTAGGCTTAATGCGGCTGCTAAGTACTTCGCGGCGTTTCACATTCTCAAATATGCTGCTGCCCTTTCGTACTTTTAGAGGAACCACCCCGCTATTGCGGACGCGTAACCCGCTTTTGACACTGCTGCTAAATGCGGATATCCCGCCTCCGAACCTGTTCACGCTACCTTCAATCTGACCAGCAGACTCTCCGCGATTTTTTCCACCCGTAAGCGGCGATAGCAAATCTCTCCAGTTTCCGTTAATTATTCCCGGATGTACGTACTTTTGCCATGTACGTGGTAGCGACAACGCATGCCCGTTTTCAAGAGTGGTGGTTTCGGATGCGGCGTAGGCGCAGTCTAGGATACAGGTGAGCAGCAACGCGAAGAAGAAACCGATACTGATATTTCCAGCATGGGCGGAAGATAAACGAAATGAGACTAGAATCCTGCTCGCCATCGGGAACTCACTCGGAGACGCGAGAAATGAGTTGGAGATTCGTCGTGAAATCGCAACTGCTGTGGCTCACATTAGCAGCAATCAACAGTATGGCATCCCAGGACCGCTATTTATGCTCGCGCGAAGAGCCTCGTCCCTAGTCTTTCGGCTCGGTCACTACCAAAACGATAAGTTCAAGCAGATGTGTGTGAGGAGTTGCTGGTTACACCCAGTTGTCGCGTCGCGTTGCGTGAAGGATTTCGTCAGCTTCGCAAGAGCCGCGCCGCATCTTGCTGTGTGTAATGCCTTCAAGCTGTCGAGCATCAGCGGCACTTCGCCACACTCTTTTCGCCACACTCGGTGCAGCTGGCTGACTCGCGACGGGCAGCGGCCGTCTCAGGTTTGTTGCATATTTCACCAAACCTGAAGCTGCGAAGTTGTGCTGCGAAAATTATGTGTTTTGCGAAAAGGATAAATATGGCATTCAACGGATTCACCAAACAGTGGCGGAGTATGGGAAGGGTGGTGGTGGGTGGCAGTGCGGCTCGGTTGTATTCTCGTTATAAAACATTGAACCCAATTGCCCCAATTCTCGTTAAAGTATAGGAAACAACTTTTTGTTAACTTCGGCCAACAACACCTACTGAGAGCATCCTAGCATGGGTAATCACATGAATGAAACGCCACAGCAGAAATTTGAAAGAAGTATGGAAGGCAGCGGAACGGGTCATAAGCTAACCACGAGACACTTCAGAATGTGGATACTGATGCAGCTATGCTGCCCCTCATCTCCGCACCATTGAGCATGATGGACGAGTAAAACGCCGTCGGGTTTGAAAAAAACCCTGCGTCGATCAACAACTTAGCTTTGTTCACCGGCTCATACGCAACAGTGAGCGCGGCGTTGTCTGAAACGGTGCACGTGAAGGAGGTACGGGTTACAGGCTTGAACGAGCATGGGAAATCAACCTTAAAGACGAGGCTGCTGCTGTTGGCGTAGTATCCTGGGCTGGTGAATGTTGGGGTTGGAAGTGGAGGAACTCCATCCATGCGAAACACAAAGGTCGCATTCTGAAAGACAGCCGTGCTGAAAGTGAGGGTATAGCGGGATAAGACGCGCGAATGAAACGGCATTAGTAAGATTTAGATGTAGAGTACATCGGCTGAAGCCTTCAGTTGAGAGTGTGGGATGAAAGTTCAGGAGTGCTGATGGGTATGGATTAGCTGAAAAAAGAGATGCTACTTTGAACTGAAAGGGAAAGCTGAGCTCGGAATGGCAGCGCTTACATGTTGATATCCACGCTGAAACTGCCGATAGGGCTAGTGGAAGTCGTAGTGGATGTAGTAGTGGTTCTGAGAACAGAGGGATGAGACAGACATTTGTATGTCAGACAACATGACTAATTTGGAAGTATCAGTATGTGTATCTAAAGGAAATTGAGGCGAATCAAAAGTCATCTTTGCTGCAGAACAGTCCGTTTCTGCACCCTCGGCATAACAGTCGCTACTGTCCATAGTATGGCACTACTAGGGTGTGGGGGAAAGTGTACTTACGTGTTGCTGGTGGTGGTAGTATTGGTTGTAGTGTTAAAAGATGATACTTTCGTGAGCGTTGACGTCGCTTGGTCTGCAGCGGCAAGTAATGGGATGGAAAGATAACAAATAGTAAAGAAGGTTGAAAACTGCACGGAGAAAGGAACTTGGGCGATGTTGGTTTGGCGTGAGCAGCTAAAGGACGACGCAGATTCACCGCCTTACAGCACTTATCGGGCTGCCTTACAGCGTGTATTGGACTGTCTTACAGCGCGTATCTGACTGTCTTACAATGCGAAGTGACGCCTGTCTGGAGCAGGTGGCGCGCGGCAGACGCGCAGGAGACGAGCGAGAGCAGCGCTGGGGAGGGAGAGCGATCGAAGGGGCCCCGGGAGGCGAGGAGGGGGGGGGATAAGAGGAGAGTAGAATTACGTGATTCGGTTCCCGGAGGGCCTTATTGTAAAATGTCACGAAAGTGAAGGAGTGCAGAAGACGCGAGAGAGACTGCAGTCTTCTCGAAAAAGGAGTGGCTCGGAGCCAAATGGTGCAACGTCCGTTGGGGGATTATGACTCCTTCAACGGCTGCTGGATATGGAGGGATAATTCTGCAGAGGCCTCAAACATTTTTGTTCGTCGACGCATTTCATGAAGACTCGTTCGGAAGAGGTGGGATTCCGCATGCTGCGATATTCCGTGCTACTTCCTCAGAAGTTAGATTCAGTTTCGCTGGCAGCGAACGCTGGCTTAGCAGGAAAGATGGAACCGAGGAGGCTCATGGAAACAAGGAAGCTCTTGAGATTGAGGAGGCTCGTGAAAACGATTCGCAAGACCAGCAGAAAATGCGTTCAACACGCAGCATTACAAGGAAAAGAGCGTCAGAAAAAACATGTGTTACTATCACAACCAGTAGATCTAAACGCCGCTCACCAGCAAGGGCGAAAGCGAGTCGCAGGGGGAGTGATGCCCGGGCCATGATGGTGTTCACAGACAGAACTTGTGCCGCTGGTACCAATGTCGTGTTGGAAGCGAAGCTGCGAAGGAGAGACAGAGGTGAGAACCCTGGCTCTGCTGCTACTAGGGATTCGGAACTTTTCTGTGAGTGAGTCGCTCAGACGAATAGGCTCGAATGAAGTGACAGAAAGGAAGGGTTTTTTATAGGCACGGTGGTTGCAGCATTGACGACGAAGAAAAAAAAGGGATATGGTGCGTCCGATGCGGCGACGAAGCAGGTTCAATGCGATGCGTAAAATTTGGCGGGGATGCGTTTTTGCATAGAAACGCAGTGCGAGAAGCAATTCCCGTGGAAACGCAATCATCGGGAATGCACCTGAAAGGATTGGAGTCCTGCCCAGATCCGAGTCGCAAATTTCAGGTGCTTCCAGGATTGGTTCTGCTAGTCAATTCGCGACGAAACAGCTGAGAGTTCGAGCGGCGCGCCTAGGGCGGAAGATATTTGGGTAATCCCATACTTCACACTACAAAGTTGCCGTCCGTCGTCCCAAGCGCCGCGTTTTGCGCAGGGGTAAGCTATCCCCTTTTGAGAAATACGCATGTAGTGACAAGCAACACCCCAGCATTCGTACAGGTTTAAACTATTTTATCCAGCTAAGGCAGCTCACTTTGGAGTCCATCACGAATTTGTGTGTTACTGACTTTCTTTTCACTTTATGATACATGCTAATACCTTCACTCAGTACTTTCTTGCCAAGGTTGATGACTCAGCCACCCCCAAAACGAATCTGAGGGCATTTCATAAGACCTTTTCAGGGAAACTCAGAATTGTTTAGTGTAAAGGGCATACCTTACCATATGCGCGTTATTTTCAGTGTAGAATTGCAAACCATCTCTGAGTTTTCAGACTTATCCAGCACCAATCAGGGTACATTCCTGTATCGACACAAATGTCTCAATCCCGTCATAAAACCAATGTACCGGTCTGCACCGCATTACACCTAAGAATCGAAGATTTCCACCGCACTGCATCTCTTCGTTTGAGACGCGAGGCCTTTGTGACGCGCTTCAGGAATGTACCCTCAGACAAACCTTATTGCCCCTTCATGACGAAGGGACATGAATGGCGATATTCATACCTGATCATCCAGAAACGCATCCACTTCGTTCATCCTCCCATGCAGCACTCTCAACCGAAGAATATCCATAGTGAAGGTCGACTTTGGCGTGCCTATAAAGAAGCGCGCATTAGCGCATATGTGCTTCTCCGCAGTCGCCCTGAGAGTGCCATCGTCCTCTGAATCCAAGTCTTGGAATCGCTTCACCCAGGGGAAATGGGAATACTCCTGCGTCCCCTTGGCAAAATCCAACAGACGCACCACCACAAGGGGGGTGGTGCTGCCAGGGCCTGAAGGATAGAAAAGGGTAGAAGATCGAAGAAATTAGGATAGAACTGTAGGAAAAAAGAGCAGCGTTACAGGGAGGGCCGAGGCAAGACAATTTCTGGGTTTACTCACCAAGAAGCATCCTCTCCAGTAGTTCAATCTCAGACGGGCTTGCATCAGTTGCAAGGTACACCACAGACGCGCCTCTGTCTTTCAACCTCCCAACGATAAATTGTGCGACTGTGACAATGGGAAGGTAAGCGGCTTGCGACTTCTCCTCGCTGCTCTCCTTTAGGTAATGCAGGGCGAAATCGCTCCGCCTAAGGTGCACCGCCGCATAATCCGACCCCAGAAACGTGTCGATGAATCCATTAACGAAGTTGACTATAACTGGGGGAGGCTGCCAGATGTCCGCACAGGTGCTTTTAAAGGGCGGAATCGCAGACTTCAAAAAGAAAGGGACATGGACCAGAGACAAGCCAAATGCATCTCCGAGGCTGATGACTGGCGCGTCGTTATAAGGTGCGTATGCGTGCAGAAAGTCGTTGACATCCTTGGAGGGTATGACGGGGTACTCGAGTTTATCCGGTAGCGTGATGTGCTGAAAGTGCGACTTCATCTGTGACAAAAAATGGGGATGGGGATGGGGATGGCTCAGCATGCAGGCAGTAAACCAGGGAGAGTGCGTGGATTGTGGTGTTTTGTCATGCAAACAGACAGAGGGAAAGGTGGATAGCGAAGACAGGGAGGTTCCGGGTCACGGGGCGGGGATTAGAGGGCTTAGCGAGGGCGTGAAAGAGCGAGGATGGGAGTGGGGGGAGGGAATGTGCAAGGAAAGAGGGCGAGTGGATGGGTGAATCCAGACCACGAGAGAAAGAGAGAGAGGAGGCGATGAGAGAACATCATCTCAACATCACCCGAGAAATTTGGGAGACCTCTCAGCAAATAACGGGCAGAATCATTGTTCGAGCAAATGAAGAGCTAAGAAAGGCTTGGTGGGTGGGACCTCTGAGCTGGATCTCTCAACATCATCCCAAAATCATTGTGAGGTACGAATAGCTCACCACAGGCCAGTTGTCAAGACATGAGTGGTTCGCAAGACACGCGATGTGATCGATCGCCACGTCACGACCCTCCCTCACCAAATACTCATCCACCGTAATAACAGTCTCGTTAGTACCATAAGCCGGCGCGAGGCACGCCCGCATTCTGGGCACATCCACGATATTGTCCCACCGCCAGCAGAACGTTCTGTAAGCCACGCCGCAACCCTTGGTCGGAATGACTAACGTTCGCTGTAGAAGCGCGGCGGCGATTAAATAGTTCCGCAAGCACTGCTCCTGATTGGATAGTCGCCCGTACACGCAAAGCGCGACAAGGTACCGGTTTTCCGGGGGCGACCAGGATTCGATCTTCCCTTGAGATGAGCCAATCAGATTCGCGTACGGCGAGTTGATTGTAGTCTGCTTCGGCTTGTCGGCGCTGTTACTAGTAGCACTATCTTTTGTTCCTAGAATTTCTACAACGGGGATACGCCGGGCTCCGTTATTGGGTCCGCTTGGCTTCGAAAGCGACACGATCTCTGCTAGAGCCCGTCGTTTTCTGATCGTCCGATTTCCAATGATGCCCGCCGTCTTTCGAGTTGTACCGCTGCTGCCGTTGCTGCCATCGCGTTTCCCGCTTCCGCTTGAGCTGCTGCTGGCTTTCCAAGCCGCATGCGCATCCATGCGTCCGCTGCTTCCGCTTCCGAAGCTATACAGCGCCGCTTTGCTTGCAGATCGAATCTGAGCGACAGATTTTCCGCGAAGCGCGGCACCAACCCTAGTCACTAGTGGCGACAGCGAATCCCTCCACTTGATGTCTAAATTCGGGAAATGTGGAGTTAGGTACTCATGCCGTGACTGTGCTGTCCACAGTGACTCGGCGCTTCCACGGGAGCGTTCAACGCTGGTGCTTCCAGACGCCGCGGCGCCGACTGCGGCGCAGTTGGCGCTGAGGAAAAGAAGCGACGCGGCGGCAACTCGGAGAACTGCACTGCACGAAACGCTACCCGCACTGGAAAAAGCTGCCGGCCGCGCCGCCTGCAGTTCTTCTGGCGATCGCCGAGACGCCTTGCTTCCGAATCGGCCAATTCTCCCGGTCCGCCGCGGCAGCATATTCATCGTGACTTGCAGTTCTTCTTGGGACCCTTCGTATTTGAGGAGCCTAAAAAATCACCTTAATGCTTGGGACCAATCTCCGAGTCGGTACTACTGACTAAAATCGCCGCGACTCTCGGACAGAGGGAGGATTGTCGTGAGACGACGGTGACAGCTAGTAAGAGTGGTAGGGATGACCAAACTGAGTTTCAGGAAGTATCGACAGCGGTATCGAAAGGTAGCAGGTAGAGTCGACAGGTGCATCACACGTTCAAGGTGACCTCCTGACACACCTTCCTCAAGCTCTGAACTCCGTCCATGTGATATTCTAGAGGTGTGCGTTGACCTGCGGAGGTGTCGACAGCTAGCAGGTAGAGTCGGCAGCCGCATCGCACCTTCCGCAAGCCCTGAACTGCGTTCATCTGATAATCTAGAGGTGTGCGTTTGACCTGCGGCCACCTGCCAGCGTTTTCCGCTTCGAAGGCATGTCGGGCTTCGTAACAAGTGACTTCCAAGCAGGTTCGTGGGTTCGTGGCCGTGCCGAGGTCCTTCGACGAGATCGCACGGGGGAGAATAAGGCATTGCCGCCCACAGTCCCAAAAATTCGTATATGCGGTGGCTTTTTACGAAGTCGGTTGTTACAACAAACCCGACCGCGGCTGCGGGCGAGAACTACGAGGCGCAGGTTAATCGGGAGGTGTGACTTAGAATGCCACATACGAGCAGGTATAGCGGGCTGCCGTCAAGAAAATGCAGTACAGCGCTTCGTGGCTGGAGTCGGGTTGAGATAGGAGAATGCGCTACACGTATACGTACGGTCGTCTGAATTCCAGTTTTCCCAAGGGGATGTGCTGCAGCAACACAAGTTTGTACTGTACAGACTTTGCCATTAGAACCACTGCAACCACAGAACAAACCTCACAGAACCGCATTGCACAACCCATACCAACACATGCACAAAGTTCTACCCACCGCCCCAAACCCCACCGCTCGGTCTTAGGGCGCGTGTCTTCTGGTGTAGACGTTCGGATTTTTGGTTGAACTTTTGCTGGTTACCCTATTCGTTAATTCCGCCAAAACATTCGCCAGGACGTCGTGTGTCCACGTACACTTCCGGCATCGGAAAATGTTGAGCCCCCAAGTTGAACCCTCATCAACAAACAGGTTGGCACGAATGTGCGAGCGTGTGTCCACCTCATCACTGACAGCGACGATGCGAAGTCTGCGACGCTCGCAGCTAGCATCGTGCGCACGAGGGTGCTCGTCAGCGCGAGTCCCGGTGGCGCGATGTCAAGAGCCCAAACCGGGTAACCTACAAGCGTAGGTCGCGGCTCGGCTGGGCTGCAAAAGTTCAACTTCGATAGTTGAACTTTTGTTTGTCGCGTGATTTTCGGGAGGGGTGGAACCGCGGCTCGGTTTGCAGTTGGTGAAAACTCGAGCCTAGCTCGAGCTAGGTTCATATGACTACAGTTCAACAAAAAATTCGAGATTTGCATGTAAAAACCAAAAGACACGCGCCCTTAGCACGCAACACGATAGCGGGTCCGAAACTCAGGAAAGAAGATCAAACATTCAAGGGAAAATATGTCAATGGTAACTTACATGGGGCACTGTAACGCGTACGGTAACGATTTCAACGCGTTTGGTAACTCGCTTAAAGCTTTTGTATACATTTGCTTCTACTGTTTAGGGTTGTACAGTAGCCAGGGTACAATTCGCCAGAGCGAAACATCGGAGGTTGGCGAGAGGCTTGGCGAAAAATTGCACCCCTGAGGAGTTCCTAACACGGAAAACTCCCGTCACCCAACCTTGCACTCACGCGTCTATTCCGAAGCATGCTAAGCGTCTAATAACGTAGGCTACGCATAGATAGAGGAACCGGGGCGCAGCAACATAATATGCGGAGCATCAAAACCGCCCAGTTACGGAACGGGTGAGAAGAGTTTAGGTACATTATAGGCTTGTACGGTCGGAAAAGGACCATCTAACTTGCCCGCCAGCTACTTCCACCGTAGCGCCGTGCATCAATCCGACTCGAAGACGGAAAGGCCCTGCATTCATCGAGCGCGTCGTGTTCAGCAATTTCGTCTGGCCCGTCTAAGCCCTGTCAAGGGCGCCTCTACGGGATGCATCTCCACCCAGGGATTGATAATTAGGGGTCGACGAGCGAATCGCACAGTTCCATTCGCCGTTCGCCACGCCGCCACTCTCTACACCCGCTCGGTAGGCATTTCCCACTTAGCGCCTCACCCACTGCTCTGGTTTCCCGGTATGGAGCCTCGCGAGGCTTAGCGCCTCGCCCTCTGCGCGCCATGCCGCGCAGAGTATCACTCGTTGCGCGCCTCCCCCGCTTAGCGCCTGACCCGCTGCGCGCCTCCCCCGCTTAGCGCCTGACCCGCTGCGTGCCTCCCCCGCTCAGCGCGTGACCCGCTGCGCGCCTCCCCCGCTCAGCTCCGCACCCGCTGCGCGCCTGTCCCGCGTAGCGCCTCGCCACCTGCGCGCCGTTCCCGCGTGTCGCCGACACCCTCTCCCGCTTAGCACCGCACCCGCTGCGCGCCTTCCCGCTTAGCGCATCCCCTTCATATTACCCCTTCAAGCCCCCATTTCCCCCCCCTGCTGCTTATCACTACTCCCACTGCTCCCCTTCATGACCCCTCTTGCTGCTTATCCCTTATTACAACTGCTCCCCCTCCCCTCCTGCTGCTTATCACCTCCCCCACTGCTCCCCTTCTATTCCCCCCCTGCTGCTTATCACTTCTCCCACTGCTCCCCTTCATTTCCCCTCCTGCTGCTTATCACTCCCCCCACACCTCCCCTTCATTTCCCCTCCTGCTGCTTATCACCTCCCCCACTCCACCCCTTCATTTTCCCTCCTGTTGCTTATCGCTCCCCCCACTCCTCCCCTTCATTTCCCCTCCTGCTGCTTATCACCTCCCCCACTGCTCCCCCTCAATTCCCCTCCTGCTGCTTATTACTTCCCCCACTCCTCCCCTTCATTTCCCCTCCTGCTCTGCTGCTTATCACCTCCCCCACTCCTCCCCTTCATTTTCCCTCCTGTTGCATTTCGCTCCCCCCACTCCTCCCCTTCATTTCCCCTCTTGCTGCTTATCACCTCCCCCACTGCTCCCCTTCATTTCCCCTCCTGCTTCTTATCACTTCCCCCAATCCTCCCCTTTATTTCCCCTCCTGCTCTGCTGCTTATCACTTTCCCTACTGCTCCCCTTCATTTCCCCTCCTGCTGCTTATCCCTTCCCCCAATCCTCCCCTTTATTTCCCCTCCTGCTCTGCTGCTTATCACTTCCCCTACTGCTCCCCTTCATTTCCCCTCCTGCTTCTTATCACTTCCCCCAATCCTCCCCTTTATTTCCCCTCCTGCTCTGCTGCTTATCACTTCCCCTACTGCTCCCCTTCGTTTCCCCTCCTGCTGCTTATCCCTTCCCCCACTGCTCCCCCTCAATTCCCCTCCTGCGGCTTATCACTTCCCCCACTCCTCCCCTTCATTTCCCCTCCTGCTGCTTATCACTTCCCCCACTCATCCCCTTCATTTCCCCTCCTGCTGCATATCACTTCCCCCACTGCTCCCCTTCACTTCCCCACTTGCTGCTTATCACTTCCCCCACTCCTCCCATTCATTTCCCCCCCTGCTGCTTATCACGTCTCCCACTGCTCCCCTTCATTTCCCCTCCTGCTGCTTATCCCTCCCCCCACTGCTCCCCCTCACTTCCCCTCCTGCTGCTTATCACTCCCCCCACACCTCCCCTTCATTTCCCCTCCTGCTGCTTATCACCTCCCCCACTCCTCCCCTTCATTTCCCCTCCTGTTGCTTATCACTTCTCTCACTGCTCCCCTTCACTTCCCCTCCTGCGGCTTATCACTTCCCCCACTCCTCCCCTTCATTTTCCCCCACCCCTTTGCTTTCTTCCACAGCCTTGTCTCCGGCCCCTACGCTTCCCGTTTCCCGTTGGGCATCCCTTGTTATCCCAACGAGAGGGAGTGTATAGCACCCCAAGACGGCTAGGCCGTGGTCTACCACAAGTGAGCTGCATACTTCCCCCTCTCTGCCAATCCATCCCCCCGTTACTGCCCTTCCCCGACTGCCATGCCGTTTCCCTACTGCCCTTTCCTTCCCTGTTATTGCCTTCCCTCCCTTCCCATTCCGGCTTCACATCATCCCTCCATTACTGGGTGATCGACACATTTTCCGATAGTAGAAAACGTCGCACGACGTTCTATTGGTCCCCACACCCATCGTTGCCATGGGTCCATCTTATCCACCACACTTCTTCCTCACCCCTCCATAGCTCAAAGTAGACTCACCTCCCACGCCACATGATCTATAGGTTATTTTTGAAGCCCTGCATGCCCCAACACTCCCATCTGCCCGCCCCTCCTGTGCCTTATTTCATGAGCCCGCCTTGACATGGTCGATGTGACCGCGCATAATTACAAGCCCGCCATCACAAGATCTCTGTCCACATTCTATTTCGTATCATCCATTCCATCTCCGCCGCGTGGATTTGAGGCCCTGCTTTCCCCCTCCATTCCCTCCGCTGTCCAAACTACGCAGGACTCGTAACGGGAAGGGCACTTCATGGGGCATCCAAAGAAAATATCTGTGGAGTCATGGACAAAGAGGGTGAAGGAATTGGTGAAAGCAAAAGAACAGGGGAATCTAGCAATATCAAAGCACATGCAGATCCCTATTTGTTACTTGCGTTGTGGCTTGAGCACTTTGATGGGAGAGGGACGTACGGCGACGCTTTCAGACCTTGTGTACTTCCTGTTACACGCTGGCCCAGGGGCAACCGAGGCGCTTATGACCGCAGCAAAGAAGGCCGGTAAGTGACCATCTACTCATGGGCTGCCAAATTCCCAACATTGGTTTCGTCTATTAGCAATTACCACTGCAGAAAACGTGATCCAGAGCTCCACCATGCTCAAGATGGTGCCCTTTACCATTCATTCACCCAACGTACAGGTGGGGACGGCGATACGGCTGAGAAGGCAGTGCAAGGCTG